GACAAAACCCGTGCATGAAATGTTGCATGAATTATTGACCCAGGGCTTAAGGCATGCTTCTTTTCACACATCATACATCAGCTCATTACCAATCCATGTACATCAAGTCCAATATATGTACAATGACACCAGCTTGATACCTGGTGAAGCCCAGTTGATCTTCCAATCCTCTGGCAATGGTGATCCTGAACACTGTCGCAAATGGTTTCCCACACAAACTACTTATACATACTTTCATGATATGTTAAAACTTGATTTTAAAAACTCTTCTATATGCACAGTCCAAACCACCTTTCTTCCCAAAGGTTCTCATATTTGGCTGAGAGCCACCATGCACCATGCCAGAAGCCAATGCTAAAGCGAGGTTGTCCTTCATGCCACCACTGCATTTTCATATGTGCTGGGAAGAGGGCAAGCAATGCCTCTTCAGATCTCAAGGGCCAATACTGCATGCTGGCAGACATTGGATCTGCATTGCCCATGGCTGAGTCCATGACAAACAATGACAAAGTGAAAGGCAGCTGCAACAAATCTTGAGCACAGAATCTCACATGAACATGAACATTAACACATGTCAACCCACATGTCTCTACCCACACATGTCCATGACAACATGCACATGTAAACCTATACAAGCAACAAACACATGAACATGACAAATCACAACTAGCATGCATGCTCTCTACATGGTAAAGCCACCAGGCTTGGACATGACATGGTGACCAAAAAGTCAAAAAATGAAAGTGTGAAATTTCAAATGAACATGGCAAATCACAACTAAACATGCATGCTCTCTACAGGGTAAACCCACCAGGCTTGGACATGACATGGCAAGAACCCACAATTAATGAAAATGCAACAATGAAAATGCAAAATTACTATGTGTACACTGTAGATTTTTCAAAAAACAAATCATATGCAAATACAACATATTTCAACTGAAACATATAACTTTTTCAATTCAAAAAACATTCAAACATGTTGTGGTGAGACTTGGTGACCAAAAAGTCACCGACACCACATTTTTCAGTCCTCGGAGAGCTTTACCAGCTAACCCTTAAGCTAAATGGTTAGCAAATCAGCTAACCACTTAGTAACCTAGGGTTTGTTGAAGTGGCTAACCTCTAACAAACAAGCTAAGAGGTTAGATAAACGATATAAAGTTTATAGAGGTTAGCCTCAAACCTAGAAGTGGTTAGAGAGGTTATAAACCATTACTAGAAGTTATAACCTACTTACTAGAGCTTATAACTAGCTTATTGGAACTTATCTAACCATTTATAACTCTTCTAACCAATAAGATCTTCGCGGGACATCCCAGTACCAGGTAACCTGTGCACCGCCGCGGATGCGGTGAAGGCGTACGCGCAAGCAACACTAAAATCCAAGTATAAAACTTGGATCGAATTACCACCTGAACTTCGACCCGCATGGTGGAAGAACAAATTTGTTCAACCAGTGGTTCTCCTCGTCAAGGCGCTGTACGGACATCCCGACGCTGGAGGGATGTGGGAACAGCATCTAAAGGGCATTCTTAAGAAAATGGGTGGCGAGGAAATCCCAGAGTTCCCCGGTAACTTCTGGTTTTCTGGTCCTCGTTTAATGTTATCCACATACGTTGACGACCTCACTTTGGCAGGCCCACGGGAGAGCCACCAAAAGTTTTGGTCAGAACTCACGAATGTTGTTAACGTTGAACCACCCGAAGCTATTTACAGAATGCTAGGGAGGAACCACATCTACGCGGTAGTCCCAGATTCAGGAAACACCGAGACCGCTGCTTTGCGCGGTAGTGCTGACGCCCTAATCTTCGACATGAAGGATTACGCGCAGCAAACCATCGACCTCTACAAGTCGGTGGCCGGTGTCGATAAGATAAAGTCAGCCCAGACGCCATTTCTCGCCGACGGCACGTTCACCACGGCTGATGAGGAGTCGCCCGGAGAGCTCGCACCAAAGGCATGTTCTATTCTGATGAAAGCCCTTTGGCTTGCCAGGTTAGCACGGCCCGATATACTTAAGCCGATCAACGATCTGGCCACCAAGGTGCAGAAGTGGACCCGTGTCCACGATAAAAAGCTGCTACGACTCGTTCAGTACATTCAGCACTCACTAGAATATAGGCTAACCGCCGTCTGCGGCGATGATGCTAGTGAGCTGTGGCTAGAACTTTTCGTGGACGCCGACTTTGGTGGGGACCAACATGACGTGAAGTCGACCTCAGGGGGGTACCTAGTACTTAAGGGCCCTAACACCCACTATCCACTAGCATGGGTGTCGAAACGGCAGACCTCCACGTCAAGATCCACTACAGAATCGGAAGTAGTAAGCTTGGCCTATTCGTTGTACCAAGAAGGACTACCTTCGCTACAGCTATGGGATAAACTTCTTGGACGGGACGTCAACCTCGTCATACAGGAGGATAACCAAGCCACGATTCTAGTAGTAAGGAAGGGCTTTTCCCCTAAGCTACGACACATCAGCCGAACACATAAGATAAACCTCAGTTCCTTAAAGGAATGCATCGACGACCCATCTGTCGAAATCAAGTACATCGATACGAATGAACAAGCTGCAGACATTTTCACCAAAGCGTTGCCACCACAAAAGTGGTTCAAAGCGCTATGCTTGCTTGGCATCCGTACAGATTTAAAGTGCTTAGTCCCATCTAAGACAGATAGGAGCCTTCCGAGCAGTTCGAAGCCTTCGTAGGTCGTCGAAACCGCTGCCACCCGGCGCGGTAATTCGTGCATGTACAAAGGAATGCTGCCCCAAAACGGGGAGGGGGGAGTCATTTTCTGTGAACCCCTAGTATGTAACAGCATTCACTACATGTCTACTAGTAGCTACGGTTCACACACCACATGTACAATACATGTGCCGACCGTGGCTCTTGGCTCAAGAAAACATCGCGCCCGTGGTGTTTTCTTCAGGGTGCCGGGTTCGTTGGCCAGTGGCCGACTTCCCTTTCGCTTTCGCTTTGCATCCTTTCGTGCCTACCGTTCGTTCGCTCGTCGCCGTACGTCGTTCGTTCGGTCCCACTTGCCGTCACGGGGTCCCGTCCTTCCGACGCTCCTCGTACACCCATTAACATAGACCGTGCATCCAGGGATCTGGCATACTTCTTCTATCACCTCCCGGTTGAAAGGGTTGCCTGGGCGTTTCCCTACGCCCCACCTGGTTTGTACACTCAATTATATATATATATACACCAACTTTATTCTGACAATACCTTCCACATTTAGTTTGAGAAGCACGGCTTGCAGCTGCAACCCAGATGACTAAGCCCGTCCGCAAGCTGTTTGCAAACTGTTGCGAGCGGTCCTGGATTCGACATCATCAGAAACCATGTTGAAGCCAAGATTCCATAAGATTCCTGTACTGTTCAGATTCAAGCACTTTCTCTAGACTCTAGGACTTTTGAGTGTTCAATCATATTTTACCCTGGATTCAAGAACTTTTTCTGAGAATCTTGAATCCAGGCAATTGAATATTTTCATTTATAATCCATTGTATTAAAAACAATGGGAAACGGTCATACGGTCCCACTAACAATGCAAGGTTTATTTTAAGTTTTAGATTGTATATTTATATTTATACTATAAAATTGTTTTTAGATAAATTTATATATAATATAAAATATATATAATTATATTGTGTTAAGTATTTATTATATATTAATACCGGAATGCCTAGGGAAGGGTTCTCATTCACTCTGCGGGTCTGGGGGTAGAGCCTTGTTCTCGTGACATTGCTCTCATGTTCGCAACCGTCCGCGGCCGTTGGAGTAGCTTTTGGACCGGGATGGAAGATGATGAAAGCATGAAGCGTCAGATTTGTGTGAAATAATAGCGTTGCAACTTAACATGCCCATGATTAGGTGCAGTGTTCCGTGCGGTCAGCACTTTGTGTTGCTGTGCCATTGAGCACTTTGTGTTCGCAGAGCGTTCTTTCGGCCGGGGTGTTGAACACTGTGCCCTCGTGATTTGCTCTTGAAGCGCTTGCCTTGAAGCTGTGTTTTAGTGACAAGCCGTTGGTAGACAAGTCGTTTTAGTTGGTGCAGGTATGTGCAGGTGACTATCGCTGCGCCATTTGGTTGTCGTTTGTCGACGGATTTGGATTGCGAACCTGCTTGCCAGGGCTGCAGGCTGCGTGATGTGTTTGCTCGCTTCACTTTTGGAGGTTCAGTTTGGCTCTTGGAGGATGTCCCGTGCAAAAGATCGTTTGAAGACTTCCCAGGTCAAACCCATAAACGGTAAACAACAACTGCAGGTATTTTAGAGAAAGGCTTGACTAACCAACATCATTCACAGTTATTTGTAGTTGGATAGACCAAAGTTCTACAAAAACACATATATATGTAATTATATGTATGTATATATATTATATATTAATTAAATAGGCGGAATTCATCATAGTTCGAGATCACTTCAGATTCATGTAGAAGTCACTGCGTAGCACCACTGTTTTGGGGGTGGTTTCGGGCCGGGACTGAAATTCTTCACCGGGTCTCCCCGGTCACGCCACCAGGCGATTTTCTTCGGTTTGGGCTCTGATGGCACGGTGGGTGCCAACAAGGCAGCAGCTGCCATCATCGGCGAGCGCACCGAGTTCTACTCACAGGTGATGGTCCGTTTGGGCGGAGCACGTTGTGCCATGTGTCATGGTTGTTAGTGCCCGATAGGGCTGAAGCAGATGTTTTGGATATCTTGGAAGCGATTTGATTTACGAGAAGAAACACGTCCAGAAGATCAGAGGAGCTAAAGCAGCTGGAGAACATGTTGAAGAAGTCCAATATTGACAAAATACTACAATGTGTATTTTTGTTTGTGTGTATGTATTATTTTGACCCGGTGCTTTGAAGAACACAATAGGCCCATGCCATTTACCCACATAGACCTACCACAGCCAATAGTTTGCTTCGACACTGTACCCTCGACTCGCCTCACCAGGGGCACTTCAACTACTCATCGCAGAAGGCGGGCGCATCCACCGTCTCTCACCTGCGCACCTCGGTTTTACGAGTTGAACTGTCCTGATGGTGGAAGACCTTTTTTGGGGACTAGCCCCAGCATAGAAATGATTCAGACATAGAACCATCCCTACCCCCTTACACTATGGAGTTGAGGGGGGATGTCACAAATGTAACTTACATTTTCTGGGCCCCCCCTAGTGTTTTTTGTATTGTAAGTTACCCCTCCTTGACGTCCTTTGGAGGGGGGCGTGCTCAAACATGTAGCTTAGAACGTGGGAGACCTTTACCTACATTTATCAACCCCCCCCAAACCACTCACTTTGGGGGGGGGCGGTTAAAGAATGTACCTTACTGTCTCCGGGGGAGACCGGTCTTTGGGCTGTCTCTCCCTCGAGAGACCACCACAGGGAGAAACCGATGTGGCACACCCTCCCCGTGGCCTTTCGGATCTCTCGGTGTGGGATGTGTGGAGAAAGGTTTTTTTTTCCCGAATGCGTAGCGAAGGGTTCCCGTTTATAGTTGGGGGTCTGGGGTTGGAGCTGTGTTCGCGTGGCTTGCGTCGTGTCGTCGTCTCTCGTCGTCTCTCGTCGTCTGTCGTCGTCTCTCGTCGT